AATCTATTTACATATTTAACATCTAAAACTTTAATATTACATACATACCACCTATAGTTTATTTTTATATCAAATATGAGTGGTAGAAATAAAATATATGAGTGGTAGGAAGGAAATATAAGTGACATATTTGATATTAAAATAGTATAAGGTGGTATGTATGTAATATTAAAATTTTAGATGTTAGATATGTAAATAGGATGTTATAAAGTGGTATGTAAGTATTATTCTGATGTACTCACTTCTTTGAGATGCAAGCAATCGCGAAGGATCAAGACTTCTAGTAAATGACCATTCGAGCCGTTGCCAAGGTTCCTAAACAACTTAAGTAGTGAAATGCAGTTGAAGAAAAGGGTAATGAAGGTGGTGGTTTGAGGGTAATGCAGATTAATAGACCATGGGATGCCAAAAGGAAAACCTTAAAAATAGTCCTGCAATTGAGTAGGATGTTGAAAAATCAACTGACTTGAGATTCACAAGCCCCTGCAACACAGAATCAAATGTCAAACATGAGAGTGATTTTATATAATAAACCAGCAAGAGGTTTTGGAAAGAATCAAACAATCAGAAAATAAGGTTGGAGAGAGTACGTTTTGAAGGATAAATTGTTAAAAATTTGAAGAGAATTTCGCAGCATGAATCAAGGATCCGGCTACTAACAATCCAATCTCAAGCTGACCCAATTCTAACTCAAGATCGGCTAAAAATTATTTCATCCAATCTTCATCTAAGCTAAGCCTAACTATAGGTGGGTTAGATTCGATCCAAATGTGGCTCAATTTGTTTATAAACCGAACAAAAAAAATGGTTCTGCTTTAGTTTATTTTCAATCTTTTTAGAAAAATAATTGGTTCAAACTGCAAAGATGTTGTCAAGCCAACTTGATTCAATCCATGCTCGCACAACTTAAGTTTAATTTGAGCTAGATATAACTCATTGCTAGGGCCATTAACTTCAATCTATTTTTTCAAAGCTGATACTAGATTTAAGCTATTCAAATATCTAACAGAATTTTTGTCTAAAATTATGCATATTTGATTTTAGAATATCCCAGCTGATTAAAGCAAAATAGATTTATTTTCAAACCATTGACTTCCTTTTGCTTATTTATGCATAAACTAGCTAAAGCCTAGACTTATCCCATCAATAAAGCAGCTCATGACCATTTCTTGGCTGGTCAAAGATGGTGTAGAGGCCAACTATGTTGAAGGAAGGCTTGTCGACAATTAGATGGTTCTTTATTCTTTCTTGGCGACATGTAATAAAAATTATTACATGTGGATCCGGATTTGTCCGGAAACCAATAAAAATGCGCCACGTCGCCCAAAAAATGTACGGCACTAGGTACCGAGCGCTTGATACCCCTCGGTACCGAGCGCGGAACTGGATGGTTCTCCCGTCCGGTGTCCGCACAGAATAATCACTCCAGTTGTGGACATCAATGTTGGCTGATATTGCAAAACTAATAGGATATCCAGAAGTGGTTGTCAACTAGGGAGCTAGAGGTGTTGATTACCAATGGAATTTTGAAGTTGGTTTCTGGCATTGCTAGGGATCAGAAAATGTTCTTTGAAAGTTGACGACTAAATATTAGTGGCAAAGATGGAAGCGTCTGGTGAATACATAAGTGGAATATGACCTCATCGCGAGCCTGCAGATGGTGAGGCTCGTGATTGACGAGGCTCTCAGTGACTGGTGAATTGTTGGGGTGTTTGGCTGACCAATTGATATGAGGATTACATCTAATAGGTCATCAATTAGATAGTCTTGATCACGACTTGAGATTCAGATTGTGAAAAAAAATATCAAAGATATCATATTTGTTGAAATTTTAAGTCTGATTTTTTTAATGAAAAATATCAATTGTGGTAATTATTATATCACAATGTCGAGATTGAAGAAGATATTATTAGGAGTCCATTGACATGATTAACTGGTCAATTAAATGTTGGGAAATCAATGCTTCATAAGCTGGAATGTTAGATAAAATTGCATAGTAAAGCAAGGCAAGGACAAATTTGGATTTTCAAACTTGTTTGGATGAACTTGTATTTGAATTTAAATTCATATTAGGATAATTTCTGTAGGAATTAACGTTTAGTTTAAACTTATCTAGATTATTATAGTATATCATATTTTCTTTGCTTTATAGTATTTGTTTAGGATTAGAAAAGAATAAATCCCTATCTTATTTGCTTATAATTAGACATAATTTCATGTAATAAAATTAATCGGAAATCTATCTCAAAAATCTTCCTCTTCCTTTCCTTCTCTTCCCTCAGCCCATCCCGGAACTGTAGCAAAAAAGCAGATGAAGCTCGGGCACTGTAGCTCACGTCATTTAGCTTCCGTGACAGTTTGCCGTTGCTACTCATTTCTGGTCACAGTTGCCACTGCTTTTATTCCTTACTACTGCAGTTGTTGCTCCATTTGCTGAAACTACTTGCATCTCATGATTGCTATTGGTGTTTGGTAATCATCTGATAGGAAACACTTGTAGATCTCAAGTATTTCCTATCAATCTTCGGAAAACAGCGAGATTTCTCCACAATAGTCAGCACAAAACCACAAAAACAGTAGATATTTTGTATTATTTGATGAAAGGAAAATAGAAAATAGCAAGATACAATTGATCATCAATTCGAGAGGAGGATCGAGCTCTCCCAAATCTCTAGACGCCACTAGAGCCCAAAGAAAAACTTAATTCTAAGAGATCTAAAATTTCAGCCAAATTCAAGATGCCCTAACCCTAGGAAAACAAAGTATTTAATGCATACAAATCAAAAGAAAATCCCAAAACAGCCCCTACATTCAATTTATCTCATTTTCCTCAAAATTCCTTCCTAAAATGCTCCCGTGGAATCGCGGCTCGCGCGGCATCCGCCAGAGGCGGAATAGCGTCGCGGTTTCACCCGTAAACCAGTCCCGTCTGGACCGGTCTAACAATACTCCCCTCCCAAAGATCCACCTTGTCCTCAAGCTGGAAATATGCTCATGTTCCCGTGGAGGTGGCCATCCATGAGGTGGTTGAAAATCCTTACCAAATTGCTAAGTCAAGGGCTGCACTGAAAGAGAAACATCCCCTCCCTCCTACATCCTGATCACATCCAGCTTGTGTAGTCCCACTAGATAATCTTCCCCCACCTCTTGTATGTCCCTAACCATGATCCTAAGTGATGTCATGGCTTTGGATAACCCGGCATCTCCCCTTCCCCTTATAACCATCTTTCTCCCATCCACCATTAATTCCTTCGTGAGTGCTCCCCAAATGTCCTCGATTTCCCCCAAGGTTTGCAACCACTTCATCCCCAGGATGATATCAGTACTTCATAACTCTAGTGGGAGAAAGTCCTCCCTTACTTGAATCCCCTGGATGGTCAACACCACTCCTCTACAGATCCCCTAGCCTTTCTCCACCTTCCATGTACACATCATCACCCCATAACAATCGGTGTTCACCAATTTCACTCTCAATTGGTCGACCTGAGTGGAAATGAAATTATGGGTAGCCCCACTATCAATTAGCACCACCACCATCCTGCCCTCTATCTCTCCCTTCACCTTCATGGTATGATTCGTAATGAATCCTACCACTGAGTTTAGGAAACCTTGACCAGATTCAAATGCAACTTCTCCTCTATCTTTTCCACCAACTCTTCCTAACCTCCCTCATCAGTTTCCTCGTCATCACAAATAGTGAGTACCTGAAGATTTCAGTCCTTGCACCGATGTCCTGACGTATACTTCTCCTTGCACCTGAAACACAACCCCTTTGCCCTATTCTCTTTCATCTTCTTTTCTGTTGGTCTCTTGAAATTTTCCCCACTCCCTCCTACTGGCTTCTCCCTAGTGGTCTCATTAATGTTTGGTGATGCAGGCCTCTTGGGTGCTAGAAGAGTGGTAGTTGTTCTGCAAGAGCCTCCTGAGCCTCTGTTCCTGACCCCCTTCTCCAGATTCTTCTGATTTTCCACCTGTTGTGCCAACTTCATGGCCTCCCCCAAGTCACTAGGCATCAGAACTTTCACTACCGCTCGGATCTCTGCCTTCAACCCCTTCATGAAGTTCCCCTCCAATACCATATCTGATAATCGCTCCACCCTACTGGCTAGGTACTCAAACTGCTCTCGGTAGTCTGCTATTGATCCCTCCTGTGCCAGAGCAAAGAACAGCTCATAGAAATCTCCTCCCTGGTCGATTTGAAAATGTTCTATTATGCAGTCCTTGAATTCCCTCCAGTCTCTGATAGGTCTCCTCTAGTCTCTTCACTGGTACCATGACAGTGCCCTCCCCTCCAAACATAGGCCTATTGCTGTCAACTTCTCCTCCTCATTTAGCCCATTAACGGCAAAGTACCTCTCCACCTTATAGATCCACCCATATGCATCCTCCCCTTCGAAGATAGGCATCTTCAACTTCCTCACCTTCTGATCTTCACCATTCCCCTTTATTCCTCCATAGCTTCCCCTCTCTCAAGTGCTCGACCCACCCCACATCTCCCGGTTTTCCCTTGCCCTGCCATAGCACAAACCCCCTTCGAATTTCACTCTTATTCCTTCAAAATCAGCACCTAGGCGACCATAATGTCCCTCCCAGCATTCCCAATCAGAACCCCTTTGCTCCGTCCCTCCATACCCATGTTTTTCCCCATACCTACCTCCTCTATCCTCCCTCTAGAAAGGCTCCAGTCTCCAGATCGGGTTTCCTTCTTTCTCCCTCCACGATTTCCACCTCATCTTCCTCCCTATGAATTTCAGAATTCGTATTTTTTCTTTCCTCCTCTTTTGCCACGGAAGCCGCCATTTGATTGTGGATTTCCAACATTTTCTTCATCATGCCCCGGAGATCGGCTACTTGTCCTTCCATGGAGGAAATCCTTTCCTCCACCGTTGTCTTGATTTGGTTCATCTCCCCTTCAAGCCTTTCATCTAGCGCAACAACTTTCTTGGCCGTCATCTCGATCCAGACTTTTTGTAAATCCAAAAATTCCGGATTATAAAAACAGCACTTCTTCCCTTCTCGACCAAAAATTGGGCGCCGAACTTCGCCAAAATCAACCCACGAACGGTCACAAGATTTGTTCTGATACCAATTTGATAGGAAACACTTGTAGATCTCAAGTATTTCTTATCAATCTTCGAAAAACAGCGAGCTTTCTCCACAATAGTCCGCACAAAACCAAGCACAAAAATAATAGATAATTTGTATTATTTGATGAAAGGAAAACATAAAATAGCAAGATACAATTGATCCTCAATTCGAGAGGATCAATCTCTCCCAAATCTGTAGACGCCGCTAGAGCCCAAAGAAAAACCTAATTCTAAGATATCTCAAATTTCAGCCAAATTCAAGATGCACTAACCCTAGGAAAACAAACTATTTAATGCATACAAATCAAAAGGAAATCCCTAAACAGTCCCTACATTCAATTTCCCTCCTAATCTTCCTGAAAATTCCTTCCTAAAATGCTCCCATGGAATCCTCGCACGGCATCCGCCAGAGGTGGAATAGCGTCGTGGTTTCGCCCTTAAACCGGTCCCGCCTGGACCGGCTAGACCGGTCCAATGGACCGGTCTACCAATACTCTCCTCCCAAAGATCCACCTTGTCCTCAAGGTGGAAATATGCTCATGTTCACATGGAGGTGGCCATCCTTGAGGTGGTTGAAAATCCTTGCCAAATTGTTGAGTCAAGGGCTGCACTGAAAGAGAAACATCCCCTCCCTCCTCCATCCTGATCAAATCCAACTTGTGTAGTCCCACTAGATAATCTTCTCCCACCTCTTGTATGTCCCTAACCATGGTCTTAAGTGATGTCATGGCTTTGGATAGCCCCGCATCTCCCCTTACAACCATCTTTCTCCCATCCACCATTAATTCCATCGTGAGTGCTCCCCAATTGTCCTTGGTTTCCCCCAATGTTTGCAACCACTTCATCCCCAGGATGACATCAGTACTTCCTAACTCTAGTGGGAGAAAGTTCTCCCTTACTTGAATCCCCTGGATGGTCAACACCACTCATCTACAAATCCCCTGGCCTTTCTCCACCTTCCTTGTACCCATCATCACCCCATAACAACCAGTGTCTACCAATTTCACTTCAATTGGTCGACGACCTGAGTGGAATTGGGTTTAGGGTTATTTGAGTTTTCTCTAAGTTTGCTGAAGTGGAAATGACAAATAAACTGAGGAAAATAAGAGAGAGAAAGTTAAGAAAAAATATATATTTCCTCTGACATAGTGAAGCGATACATCTATGTAAGGTCGTGGACCTAACTGGAAGATCACCCAACCACAATTCACATTTCTCTCAGGCGTTTTTTTCTTGCAATTTTTCCTCTCAATCTTGTTTGCAATCGCACTAAGCATGTGCTTTTCCTTAACAATATAATTTGAGGTTGTAGATTTTAACATATGAACTGAATTTTAGAAATGTTTAGCATAAGATATTAGAGGGAAGAGCTGTCATTAAGCTCAGCATATTATCACAACATTTGACATCATATGAATAAAAGGTTACAAGAAAGCTTACTTTGATCAGGATACGAACTTTGTGATCATTGAGTTTGAACCCCCTTAAAGTCAATGACATTATATGAGGACATCCATTTACAAGATCAACACAAGTTGGGGATTTCAAACTATCATCACTACCTGATAAAAAATATAATTCTAAAGTTGATCGAGCAATCAAAAGAGAGGATGATGCACTTTCACAAGGTAACGCACCTGTTTCTGAAGACTCTACAAACAAACGTTCAATTGAGTGACAATTCGTGCTCACAGAGTCCAATATTTGCCTCAGCTCAATACGTCTGTAAATAAAATGGTGAATAAACTAAATTACACGTCCAAACCCAATCAGTTCTACGAGGAGAGATAAAAAATGCACTTCAAAAGCAAAGTGATGCTAGTAGTAGTATTAATTGAATCGAACTGTTTAACTCAATTGCTATATAACAATATTACTTGAATTGGACAAAAAAAAAAGAATGTTATTCATCATGCAATGAGTGAAATAAAAAATTAGTTCATTCTGTTTGTGCTATTAACTACAAGAACAGAACCTTTAAGAGTTAAAAGAGGTCAAGCATTTAACTACAATTTGTAGCACAAGATAATGTCACATCGTTTAAACTATTCACACCCATGATACGAAGCCCAGGATAAGTTTCATGTAATAGCATTCTAGTGGAATTTCTAGAAGAATCCATTATGCTCTAAATTCATGCAGCAATTAATGAGATAATGAGAGGAAAATTTTAATTCTCATGTGAAGGCCAAATTGTTGATTTGTTCAGGATCAAGACATTCAAACTTTTTTCTCGAGGTAGAAATAGCATATTTAATATCAATTTTAAGCCAAAGAAGGCAAAAGAAATCTAAAAATTCATAAAGGTATACCCAGTACATAAAGGCACCTCCATTATAGTATCTACAGAGAATTGTTGTGTGCGACCATATCCTATATCACAATAAGGCAGTTCTAGATTCAAATCCATAAACTCTAGGTCAAAATGGGACAACTTCACCTTTGCAAGCGTATCCGAAGTACTTCCTTCAATATTTGATATAGATACAACCACATTAGTAGGCGCATAAAACAAATTGAATATGGTGGAAGGAGATGCTAAAACTAGAATTAGCCCAAATGGCTAATTAGCGAGTTGACTGTAAACAATATTCTTTGTTGCCATTTAATGGTTTGCCAAAGTGTGAGTACAGTTTTATTATTCAAGAAGCACCCAGGGGTGTGTGAACAAATAGTAATCAAGCTTGAATGTGTTCCTAATTAGCTCATATGGATGATTTATTCAATACTACAAGCAGAGGCAAAAGAAGTTCCAGCAAGATCAAGTGTTTGAGGTCTTAGCTCTTAATTGGAGATGGCATGGCTGTAAATTTTCTCAAGATTTCATATGATTGTGTTTTCATAGTATAATCAAATTGATCTCATTGCGCTATAATATTATCATGATGGGCATACAACTGAATCGCTGACAAGTGTAGATAAATATAACTTTGAATCAAATTGCATTATAATCACTGGATATATATTCCTTGATTTGAATATCATGATTAAATTCTTAAATGATTTGGATATCGATGCTTGCACAAAAATATCATGTAGTTGAGTATCACTAGAGAAAATTGAGGATGAAGTATAGAATATGTTGAAATCAATTTTGGCAATAAATCTATAGATTGTGTATTGTCCTTTATGCATTTATTGGAAGAAGTTCAACATCTCCAATATACTTGGATCTTATTGAGGCGTAATATTTTGATTTATTGATGTAGACAAATGGGGGGTCAACTCATGTCCAAAATAAATCAATTTTGGCCTCCCTCGAGTTTACAAGCTCAATAAAATTTGAGCTAGAATTTAGCTCATTTATGAGCTAATTTTTAGTTCATTTATTGAACTAGGAGTTAGCTCATTATTAGCTAGGTTTTAGTTCATTTATTATCGTATTTATGTAGCTTTTTATTTATTGTTTTAGTTCGGCTAAATATTGGCACCCCTAATGAATACTCCTATTATAGTCGGTGCTAGCATCCCAAGAATTTGAAAAGAAGTAACCTGGCCAAACTAGTTTGCAATTGTAATAGTTTGTTTTGAATTTAGGTGCAATATAAAATTTAGTTTTCCTGCACAAAATAACATTATTTTCTAGTTGTGACATTACATTTTGGGACTTTTTTGTCAAATTTATTTTCTTAACAAAATACTATTTAATATTTTAATGATTTACATATTTTTTGGGTGTGCGTCAGACTATGTACCTATGGCTCCAGTGAACCATTGGGCCACAATGTGCCATTCACAATTAACAAAAATGAATAATGTTGAAAGGCAAGAAAGGAAAGGGATGGACCACAACTAAAAAAGCCTTATTTTTTACTACAAGGCATGATTTAAGAATGATTAATGCCAAACCTTGCAATGAACAGGAATGGATGAACTTAAAAAAGTCACCTAAAAATTGTTGAGGTGGTAATGATAATGGTTACAGTACACTATCATATAGATATTAGCTAACAAGCATTCACTTTCTTCATTCTAGAGGGTATCAAGCTTATATATTGTAAAGAAGGTTGATAGATGATGTTAAATTGAGAGGAACGAGAGGGAAAAGCTTGAAATTATTCATTACAATCTTCCCTATTTATAGATCTATACAAGATATTCTAATGAGGAAATAATAAATTGCAGATTTAATACATAAATAATACATAAAAATCTTTCCTAAATTTGTTCCTTCATTATGGCGTGATCCATGAGAGTATCCCACGGATTGGTCTTTGTGTCCGTCAGATCTTTTGCACTGGGAACGGCTGGATTTCAACACTCCCCCTCAAGTTGGGAAATATGGATCAGTCATTCCCAGCTTGTCAATCATTCTGAGAAAGGCAAAACTGTCCAATCCTTTAGTAAGGATATCTGCAAGTTGATCCTTTGATGATACATGATCGACACATACTAGACCACTGTCTAGTTTTTCTTTAATAAAATGTCTATCCACTTCTATATGCTTGGTTCTATCATGCTGGACTGGATTGTGGGCTATGTTGATTGCTGATTTGTTGTCACAATGTAGCTTCATGGGCTCATCCCACTTAACCTTTAAGTCTTCTAGGATTATTTTAATCCATAGTAGCTCACATATTCCCAAGGCCATAGCTCGATATTCTGCTTCTGCACTAGATCTTGCCACCACATTCTGTTTCTTGCTTCTCCATGAACTAAGTTACCTCCAAGAAATGTGCAATACCCAGAGGTAAATCTTCTATCAACCGGTGATCCTGTGTAGTCAACATCCTTGTATACTTCTAAGGTTATTCCTTGATCTCTCTTAAAGAGAATTCCTTTCCTGATCTTCCTTTTAGGTAGTGCAATATCTTGTCTACCGCTTGCATATGAATTTGCTTTGGATTCTGTATAAACTGACTGACCATGCTTATAGCAAATGATATGTCTGGCCTAGTGTTGGAGAGGTAGATCAATTTCCCTACAAGTCTCTGATAGGTCCCTTTATCTATATCTGGATCTTATTTAGCTTCCCCTAGTTTAAGATTAGGTTCTACTGGTGTCGGTGCTGGTTTACAAGCTAGTTTACCTGTTTCTTTTAGAAGATCTTTGATGTATTTCTGTTGTGAAATGAAGATTCCTTTGCTGGAGTGAGCTACTTCAATTCCGATGAAGTATTTTAGTCTACCAAGTTCTTTGACGTCAAATTCCTTAGTAAGACTTTTCCTTAAACTGACTTTCTCTTCATTATCTCCAGTCAAAATAATGTCATCAACGTACACTAATAATATTGTGACTCCCCCTGAGTCTGAATGTTTGAAGAATAATGTATGATCCCCTTGACTCAGTCGATACCCATTTAGGAGCATGAATTTAGAGAATTTTCCGAACCAGGCCCTTGGTGATTGTTTGAGCCCATATAGAGCTTTTTTCAGTTTGCACACCTTGTTACCTTCAGTTTTTTCTTTAAACCCTGGTGGTATTTTCATAAATAATTCTTCTTCTAAATCCCCATGCAGGAATGCATTTTTCACATCCAATTGTTCCAGATGCCAGTTGTACTTTGCTGCTAGTGAGAGTAGTATTCGGACAGTATTCATTTTGGCTACAGGCGCAAACGTTTCTTGGTAATCAATGCAATATGTTTGAGTGAACCCTTTTGCCACCAGTCTTGCCTTATATCTCTCTAGTGTGCCATCAGCTTTGTATTTCACTGAGAAACCCATTTGCAGCCGACCGATTTTTTCCCTATCGGTAGATTGACGATCTCCCATGTTTTGTTCTTCTCCAGGGCCTGCATTTCATCCTTCATGGCATTTCTCCAATTTTTATCAAATAAGGCCTCAAAAATATCTTTAGGAATATGGATATCTTCTAATGTAACAAGAAAATTTTTGTGTAACGATGAGAAGTTGTTGAAGGATATAGAGTTGCTTATAGGGTATAGGGGAGGAGGTGAGCTTACCTTATTTCCAGGAGATGATTCAGATTCTTGGATCTGCTTTGGAGCACAGCTTGAGCTTGTACGTCTGGAGTAAACCTTTCCAAATCTAATATTAGCTTTGTCATTTGTTTCCCTATCTTGGATTTCAGGTGGATTGTTATGAGGTGGTGGAGGAATGTCAAGAGGTGCTAGTTCATTTTTCTCATCTTCCTCAAGTTCAGTCTCCCCCTGAAGATGAGTTTTTTGGTAAATAGGAATTTTTCTCATCAAAGGTAACATCAATAGAGACAAAAGTTTTTCTTGTAGGTGGATGATAACACTTATAACCTTTTTGGGTAGCTGAATAGACAACAAAGATGCATTTGAGTGCTCTTGGATCTAATTTTCCTCGCTCATGGCTGTGAATATGAATATAGGCAGTGCATCCAAAGATTTTGGGTGCAAGATTATGATGGGTTCGAAACTCTGGGTAAAAAGTGGACAAGGTCTCCATTGGAGTTTTGAGGCCTAAGGCTGTTGAAGGTAATCGATTTATGAGATAAGCTGCAGTTAAAAGAGCTTCCCCCCAATAGGATTTGGGTGTATTATAGTGAAATAAAAAAGCTTGGGTGGTAGCTAGAAGATGACCATTTTTCCTCTCTGCAACCCCATTTTGTTGTGGGGTGTGAACACATGAGGACTCATGGATGATCCCTTCACTCTGGAAGTATGAGGAAAGGGTTTGGTTGAAATAATCTTTGGCATTATCGGAGCGGAATCTCCATATTTAACCCCAAATTGATTTTGGATCATGGAATGGAAGATGGGAAGCATGGTGCTAACATCATATTTATTTTTAAGGAGATAGATCCAAGAGACTCTAGTGCAATCATCAATGAAAAACACAAACCAGCGTGCCCCAGAGATATTGGAGATTTTTTAGGGTCCCCATATATCACTATGAATAAGGTAGAAAGGAGTGTCACATCTCTCATTTTTATTTGGGAATGAGGTTCTTTTATGTTTAGCCAACTCACATGTTTCACAGTGAAAATTTTTATTTTCTATTTCCTGAAAAAGTTGTGGATACATATCTTAGGATATCAAAAGATGGATGTCCTAGTCTATAATGATGAAGCCAAATAGTAAAATTCCTATCTACTAGGGATAACATAGAACAACTATTTTTAGATTGGTTTGGTTCTTCCAAGTAGTACAATCCTGCTTTCTCCTTAACAAGTCCAATTTTCTTCCCCGATCTTCGATCCTGAAATAAGCAATAAGTAGGGTTAAATAAGGCTTGACAGCTATGATCATTGATAAGTTTTTGTATTGATATTAGATTTGTGGATAATTGTGGTACGTGGAGGACATTTTTCAGGGTGAGTGAGGGAGATAATATGATGTCTCCTTGGCCAGCTACCGTGGTAAGAGAACCATCAGCAGTGATGATTTTCTTGTTGTTTTGGCAAGGAGTATAGTTTATGAGGTGGGTAAGTGAGTTGGTCATGTGATCTGTGGCTCCTGAATCAATTATCCATAATTCCTTTAGATGATTTCTGGAAGCACTTAAACTAAAAGAAATTGGAGTCTTACCTGAGAGTGCAAGTGAAGAAGAAGCATTTGGTTTTCCAAGAGATACCAGGAGTTGTTTTAATTTATCAATATCTTCTTTATTGAATTCTCCAAGGCTGGACCGTGCTTCTGGCTTCCTTGTAGTGTTGTTGGCATGTGATGTGCTATTGTGCTCCTTGTTTCATCCTTTTGATTCCACTCCTTGCTGGGGGGTTTTCCATGTAATTTCCAGCATGTTTCCTTTGTGTGTCTTGACTTTTTGCAATAGCTGCACCAAAGTGAGTCCTTGTCTTTGAGCTTCGAGGAATCTTTACCCTTCTCCTTCCATGACGATTCTTTATTCATCACCATTGCTGAGCTTTCAACTGCCTTCGGTTCTAACATCACTCCTCGTCGGCTTTTTTCTGCGCGGATGAGGGAAATGGTTTCATTGAGTGATGTCGTCTCCTCCTTGCCTAGAATTTGAACCCTAACTTGGTCAAATTATGCATTTAGTCCTGCAAGAAAATCATAAATTCTATCTTTTTCAATAAAGTTCTTTAGGATCGCAGCATCTTCCGGACATCTGGTTTCTATGCATCTATTGTGATCAAGTTCTTGCCACAGATTTTGTAGAATGGTGGCATACTCTGTCACGGTCTTACTCCCTTGCTTTGTGCTTCCAACTTTGACTTTAATTTCAAAGATTTGAGTCGCATCACGAGCTTTGGTGAAGGTTTGTCTAGCAGCATCCCATATGCCCTTTGCAGTTGAAAGGAACATAAATGTATCACTAATTTCTGGAGTCATGGAATTTCACAACCATGACATAATCATGGAGTCTGCTTCATCCCATGCCTCAAATTTGGGATCTCCTTCTTTTGGACCTCCTCTAAGGAGGTGATGTATTTTACCTTTCCCCTTCAAGTAAGTCTTCACAAATTGAGACCACTTCAGGTAGTTCTTCCCATTTAGACGATAGGAAGGTTGCATGCTTTGAAGGTCACCTCGTCCTTGGTGCACCATCGACTCCTCAGTTTCATCAATATTTTGGGAGGAATTGACTTCTGACATGATGATAGTAATAAAGACTATCTATACGATCTTGGATAGCAATGAAGGCTTCCTGAAAAAATCCTTCCGATTTTTAGTTGTTGGCAATAAAGGCCAATATATAATTTTATTTCCTCTCCCTCTCCTTTTTTTTTCCTGACTTCCTTGTCGGTTTAAATAACCGAGTGGGCCAAGTCTTAAAACAAGACTTGGATCGGGTGGCTAGGGAACGTGCAGAGTTGGTTCTTCTGCACGATTCAGGCCTTTTAAGTCGCAGGCAGGAGATCAGATTGCACTGCGCGATTCCGCGTGCTTCGGATCGGCACAACCTTCCTTCGGCTGGCCTTCGTTTCTTCTGGTCCTTCGTTCGAGCCATCTAAAACAGCAGGAAGGCTGTTCTTTTGAGTTCGAGCGAGAGGCTAGGGCTCCGGAGAAGGAGCGTCGAGCGTTGCTTCTCGCGCCTGGAGCCCGGATCGAGTCTTCTCCTTCTGAACTGGAGAAAACGTCGACCGCGCCTGGTGGTTCTGAGCGTCGGATCAGGAAGCTCGCCGTCCTCTCCTTCGTCCGTCGGCTTGGGAGAAGACAGCTGAAGATGGCGTTCGGACGCTCCTCCGGATACGCTCGGACGTTCGGCTCTTAGTGGGAGTCTCGACTCTCGACGTCTTTGGCCTTCCTCTCGGATCGGAAGTTCCGATTGGTGCTTCGACTCCGTCTAGTCACGCCCCGGCGTACACAGGTCGGCACGATAAAGTCCAAGCTTCTTCTTTTTCTCTTCCTCCTTCGACGATCTAGGATCGTTCTCCGACGGCAATTAAGGCGTTGGCTCTGATACCATGTTAAATTGAGAGGAACGAGAGGGAAAAGCTTGAAATTATTCATTACAATCTTCCCTATTTATAGATCTATACAAGATATCCTAATGAGGAAATAATAAATTGCAGATTTAATACATAAATAATACATAAAAATCTTTTCTAAATTTGTTCCTTCATTATGGCGTGATCCATTAGAGTATCCCACGGATTGGTCTTTGTGTCCGTCAGATCTTTGCACTGGGAACGGCTGGATTTCAACAGATGAAATAAGGTTCTTGATACAACGATGAAATATGGTTCTTAGCAATGTCAACAATGAAATAAGAGCAGCACCAATTAAATTCCTTTCATGTATATAACCAGTAAGCAAATTGAATGCTACCACATTTATGATAGCACATCCAACATAAATTTTGGTTGAAAGAGCTCATGATGAAACGCTAAATGTACATCAAAACTTCTTACAACTTCATGGTGCCAAATATATAATTCAAACCTGGATGCTTAGAAATTGACCAAAAACAATATCAACTTGGTTACGTAAACTTACAGACCAACAACTTCCAGATCAAGAAGAGAAGGGCAAGCAGATAATGCAATAGAAAAGCCAGGGCCATCCATTTTATCGATATTGTACAGGTGCAAACTCCTTAAAAGTGCCCTGCAATTACAAAGGGCGATAGGCTTTTAAGAACCTACAAATAGATTTACATGTGAAAGCAGTATCAGACAAATTTATAGCATACCCTGCAGCAGCACCATCTGCACCTAAAGCCAACAAACATGATCTAGTAAGAATACATGGTTCCTTGCCCTGCCTAGGCCTTCTTTCAGTCCATGAAAGACCCAATAATTCCATGGAATTTCTGGAGGAATAAGATGTGCATCGGATAACATCTTCATTTGTTGCTGTGTTAGGCCAAATGCCAAGCTTAAGGGACCTGATTTTGAATTACAAGAGATAAAAAAGACAACGAAGAGGCTCAGTTCACTTTGGGAAATATAAGGTAGCAATCGTCAAAAGGATGATAAATAAAGTATAAAACATTAAAAATCAGTTTAGCCAGTGAAGTAAGAGAATGAGACCATTTTATTAGCAATAATGTTTAATCAAGATTTTTTTTTTTGTTTTGGAAAATGGACAGGAATAGCAGCAGCCACCATCTGGTCCAAACAATTCAGTGCAGCTTTAATGATATTCGATTTTGCAGTTAGTTTTCAACAAGATATGTTGTACTCATAGTTGCATATTGTTAAGATTTGGAAAAAAGAAGCAATAAGTTAAGCCAATGCTGGTAAAAAAATAATTTCCAATCAACAAAACAAAAAGAATGGCTCATCATAAAAATTCAAAGCATGCTCTAAAATCGATAAGTTTGTGGGTCAATGTTCAATACTTCTATTATCATATTCTTTGAACATATATCTACTTAACATTAAGCAGTCGATGTTTTAATGTTAGCCCAAAATGATTTAAAATCACTCCGGACTCAATTTGTTTTAACTTAACAGCTCAATGAGGGCAATAAATTAGTTAGAATCTAATACTTACAGTTCTAGTTGAGATCAGGTCCAAAAAATATTTGAATTGCAGCCAATATCATTGATTTAATATATCCATTGAAAATAATATTTCCATAATGTGAATTTGAGTCTAAGCTTGCATGCATAAGCAATGCATAAATCAATTTTTTTAATATTAAAGGATTATCATACATCCATCAACATTAGTAAAACATGCTCTCCACACCTCTCACCACATGCTGCGGAAGGATAGTTAAGAAAAAAAAAATGGCAAGGAGCTGGTTTCCTTACTCCCCTAGACTCCCTCCATCAAAAGCATTAAACCAGCAGTCCACAATAGCACAAAGTAGAAGGAAATCAAAGTCAAGAAAATTACAGATCCCACGTGAGAAGACCTCTGCTATAAGGCTCCATATCACCAACCCAAAGCAGATTAAGAGATTTCACCCATTCAAGCTTTCCTAAAGCAGACACCTGCCAAATACGGCTGTTGACATCTATAATCCCACTTAAATGCCTCTCCTCTCTCTATGTAGATCGAAGAGAGAACTTCTAAAGGGTTTAAAACTCAGCTAATGAAGTGAAAGTTTTTTGCATTTAGCGTGAGTAAAATGGTGTTCAGAGCCTAATGAGGCACAAATTCATGTTCGATGATGATCAGAGGTTTTATGACTCACAGAAAGGCATGTGAAGGTATAACTCTTGACTCTCAAACTTATATGCCATACAAGTGGCCTATTTGTCTGAAAGTGCCCATGATATAGCGTACAAGTAGTAATATATGTGGGCCAGGATAATGCCTGCAATAACTGACAAACTTACCGATGAATCTCACATGAAAACCGCAATCCGTATCCTCACGAGAATAGAGAACGGACAATAAAAGTCCTAATAGCCTTCAAAATCAACATCAGTCTCTTTCTATCCACCCTTTATTCATTTTCAAGACGTCATCAAATCTACTAATAGCCTCCCCAATGCTTGCAATCGTCTAGGAAGTTTATAACTGCCATTCACAGCCTCATGTGTAGTCAAGGGCAACTATAGCAACACCAATGGACCTGTCAGCCCATGCACCCGTGGGTTTCACATATGGAACCTAAGTTCTCCAATGATAGGACCCAACCGTTTAATGTGCTGCCAGTAAAATAAAGTCAGGTGGCATCCCCTCTCCTATCTTGATCAAACAACACTAAAACAAACCAAAATAATAAGAATATATATGCTGCAACAACGCACTAAGTAAAATTAAAGAGACCAGTTTTCTTATCGATATAGATTTATTAATTTAAACTATTAATAATATAAAGCAAACAGACACGAACACCTTGGTTCCCTGCTTGAAGCCTTGAAATTCATATCCAATAGCTTGAAGCTATGTGTCATTCCCTTGAATGGATGAAGAAGGGACAAATTTAGAGGGAAAAAAAATCACTGAAGAGACCAGCTCAACCTCGTCCAAACATATATTTCACACACACAAAGGAACAGGTACCATCACATTAAACAGAAAATTGGTGAACCATGTAAGCCAGATCCCATGCATCATTCAATAGTGTCTTTATGGAGAATAGCATGTTTGTTTGTTTTAACAAAGAATGTTTTATAAAATAAAATTATAAATGCTCAAAAAGGATGTGCATGTGAAAAGTCATCAAAATAGGACTTCAGACATGCATTCCCTCAGCACCGCTTGAAAGCTGCCACAGCTTGCTTTCCCATTGGAAGCTCGACAAATGATATGCTAACATAATGAAAACAATTTGATGTGTAAAATACCAGTCAAAATTGTAATTAAAACCAACTAAGCGACCTACCAATCACAAGTTTTCATCTAGTTCTAGCCAAAAGTAATTGGATTGAGGCAGGTAGCTTTTCCAAGCACATGTTGGCAACTTGGCATAATCTTGGTGTCATTTAATGATTAAATTAGCGGTTCAATAACTCCATGCCACCTGTTTCCAGCTTGGCCGATCTAGGTAATTTATAATGGATTTAAAACTTCATTCTTAGCCAATTTCTAAAGAACTCATGCGACTTCCATCTGAACCAATGTATTGGCCTGTCTCAAATTACTAGGCTAGTCAAGTAAGGTGATTGTCCTTGTACAGGATCGGCAGTACCTGGAAGAACATACAGAGCAAATACAAGAACACAGGGAAAAGGCACAAGGAATACCTCTGTATATTGTTGTATTCTCCCTGAGAAGAATGTATAAATACAACAACAACAACAACAACAACATCAAGCCTTTATCCACTACGTGGGGTCGGCTACATGAATCCTTTTTCTCCATTGTGTCCTATTAAAAGCCAAATTCTCGTTTAAATCTAATAAAGAAAGGTCATTCCTAATATTTTCTAACCAAGTCTTTTTAGGTCTACCCCTACCTTTCTTAACACAAGTCAAATCTAATACCTCTACTCTCTTAACTGGGTCGTCGGAAGGCCGCCTTTTTATGTGACCAAACCATCTAAGGCGACTCTCTCTAATCTTATCTTCTACTGGAGCTACTCCAACCTTTTCACGTATATGCTCATTTCGTATCCTATCTCTAAGGGTAAAGCCACTCATCCATCTAAGCATCCTCATCTCTGCCACACTTAACTTATTATTATGCTTCTCTTTTAATGGCCAACATTCGGCACCATAAAGCATTGCAGGCCTCACTACCATCTTATAGAATTTTCCCTTAAGTTTGAGGGGAACATTTCTATCACATAACAAGCCCGATGCATTCCGCCACTTCAACCATCCAACTTGAATTCTGCTGATAATATCCCCATCTATTTCACCATCACTCTGAACAATAGATCCAAGATACCTAAAACGTGTACTCTTATTAATGACTTGATCGCCCAAAGTCACAATCCCCTCACTAGGACTATTACTGCTAAAATTACACTCCATCTATTCCGTTTTAGATCTACTCAAGCGAAAACCTTTAGACTCTAAGGTTGACCTCCATAATTCAAGTTTACCTTCAACTCCCTCTCTAGTCTTATCAACAAGAAGAATATCATCAGCAAAAAGCATACACCAAGGTACACCATCTTGCAAATGTCTAGTGAGAACATCCATGACTAAAGCAAATAGATATGGGCTTAAGGCTGATCCTTGATGTAACCCAACCGAAATAGGGAAATACTTGGTCAAACCACCTTGTGTTTGAACACAAGTAATAGCTCCTGCATACATATCTTTAATGATTTGAATATAAGCATTATTGACTCCTTTCTTATCAAGAACTCTCCATAGCACTTCTCTTGGACCTAAAACGTGAGAAGAATGTATAAATATGATAACAAAAAGCTGTCTAATTCTCCCCCTTCCCCTCCTATATGTAATTCCCTTCTTTTTTAGCTATTAAAGAAAAGCTATAATAATAAAAAGTGCTGACAAATAAAAAGGTGGTACTAGGTAGTGGAAGCATAAAGTTTGTTATAGCCAGCATGTGTACCGCCGGTTCTTATTTATAATCCTGCACTTGCATCAGTCCTCCCCTGCTTCCGAAGAGCTCGACTCCGACGAGTTGATTGAGATTGTAGCGTCATCTGTGGAATGATAGGGCCATATGTCGGAGACATTGAATGTAGGAGACGTATTGCACCCAGGAGGAAGTTGAACACGATAAGCATTATCGTTATATTTGGCAATTATGGGAACCGGTCCAAGTTTGCGACGAGCCAATTTCGAATACTCGCCGGGGGCAAATCGTTCGCGGCGGAGGCGAACCAAGACTAAATCGCCCACTTCAAATAGTTTCTTCCGGCGATGAGTGTTTGCTGTCATCTTATAGCGCTGATTGGCACTTATGATTTGTTGTTTAACATCTGAAAGCATCTTGGAGTAATCATTAGTAAAGGAAGCAGCCGCCGTGGATTGGCATTTGGGCAATACGATGAGATCTACTGCGGTATTAGGTGCTTTAGTATAAACAATGGTGAAGGGAACCTTACCAGTTGAGCGATTAGGCATTGCATTGTACGCAAATTCAGCCTTACTAAGAACCTCTTCCCATTGCTTTGGATGGCCTTGAACTAAGCAACGGAGCATATTGCCCAAAGTTCGATTAACAACTTCTGTTTGGCCGTCCGACTGGGGATGGTAAGCTGAACTAAACTGTAGTTCTGTGCCCAAACGCTTCCATAGTTCACGCCAAAAATGGCTTAGGAATTTGACATCGCGATCCGAAGTGATGCTTCGCGGTAAGCCATGTTAGCGAACAATTTCTGTAAAAAAGAGGTTAGCAATATGTAAGGCATTGGAGGTCTTCTTACAGGAAATGAAATGGCCCATCTTTGAGAATCTGTCGACGACCACCATGATAGAGTCGTTGCCTTTCCTCGTTCTCGGCAGCCCCAATACGAAGTCCATACTCAAGTCTTCCCAAATTGAATCCGGTACTGGTAAGGGC